GTGCCCTCACCAGGCAAGGTGCCCGAGTGCCCTCACCAGGCAAGGTGCCCGAGTGCCCTCACCAGGCAAGGTGCCCGAGTGCCCTCACCAGGCAAGGTGCCCGAGTGCCCTCACCAGGCAAGGTGCCCGAGTGCCCTCACCAGGCAAGGTGCCCGAGTGCCCTCACCAGGCAAGGTGCCCGAGTGCCCTCACCAGGCAAGGTGCCCGAGTGCCCTCACCAGGCAAGGTGCCCGAGTGCCCTCACCAGGCAAGGTGCCCGAGTGCCCTCACCAGGCAAGGTGCCCGAGTGCCCTCACCAGGCAAGGTGCCCGAGTGCCCTCACCAGGCAAGGTGCCCGAGTGGCCTCACCAGGCAAGGTGCCCGAGTGGCCTCACCAGGCAAGGTGCCCGAGTGGCCTCACCAGGCAAGGTGCCCGAGTGGCCTCACCAGGCAAGGTGCCCGAGTGGCCTCACCAGGCAAGGTGCCCGAGTGGCCTCACCAGGCAAGGTGCCCGAGTGGCCTCACCAGGCAAGGTGCCCGAGTGGCCTCACCAGGCAAGGTGCCCGAGTGGCCTCACCAGGCAAGGTGCCCGAGTGGCCTCACCAGGCAAGGTGCCCGAGTGGCCTCACCAGGCAAGGTGCCCGAGTGGCCTCACCAGGCAAGGTGCCCGAGTGGCCTCACCAGGCAAGGTGCCCGAGTGGCCTCACCAGGCAAGGTGCCCGAGTGGCCTCACCAGGCAAGGTGCCCGAGTGGCCTCACCAGGCAAGGTGCCCGAGTGGCCTCACCAGGCAAGGTGCCCGAGTGGCCTCACCAGGCAAGGTGCCCGAGTGGCCTCACCAGGCAAGGTGCCCGAGTGGCCTCACCAGGCAAGGTGCCCGAGTGGCCTCACCAGGCAAGGTGCCCGAGTGGCCTCACCAGGCAAGGTGCCCGAGTGGCCTCACCAGGCAAGGTGCCCGAGTGGCCTCACCAGGCAAGGTGCCCGAGTGGCCTCACCAGGCAAGGTGCCCGAGTGGCCTCACCAGGCAAGGTGCCCGAGTGGCCTCACCAGGCAAGGTGCCCGAGTGCCCTCACCAGGCAAGGTGCCCGAGTGCCCTCACCAGGCAAGGTGCCCGAGTGCCCTCACCAGGCAAGGTGCCCGAGTGCCCTCACCAGGCAAGGTGCCCGAGTGCCCTCACCAGGCAAGGTGCCCGAGTGCCCTCACCAGGCAAGGTGCCCGAGTGCCCTCACCAGGCAAGGTGCCCGAGTGCCCTCACCAGGCAAGGTGCCCGAGTGCCCTCACCAGGCAAGGTGCCCGAGTGCCCTCACCAGGCAAGGTGCCCGAGTGCCCTCACCAGGCAAGGTGCCCGAGTGCCCTCACCAGGCAAGGTGCCCGAGTGCCCTCACCAGGCAAGGTGCCCGAGTGCCCTCACCAGGCAAGGTGCCCGAGTGCCCTCACCAGGCAAGGTGCCCGAGTGCCCTCACCAGGCAAGGTGCCCGAGTGCCCTCACCAGGCAAGGTGCCCGAGTGCCCTCACCAGGCAAGGTGCCCGAGTGCCCTCACCAGGCAAGGTGCCCGAGTGCCCTCACCAGGCAAGGTGCCCGAGTGCCCTCACCAGGCAAGGTGCCCGAGTGCCCTCACCAGGCAAGGTGCCCGAGTGCCCTCACCAGGCAAGGTGCCCGAGTGCCCTCACCAGGCAAGGTGCCCGAGTGCCCTCACCAGGCAAGGTGCCCGAGTGCCCTCACCAGGCAAGGTGCCCGAGTGCCCTCACCAGGCAAGGTGCCCGAGTGCCCTCACCAGGCAAGGTGCCCGAGTGCCCTCACCAGGCAAGGTGCCCGAGTGGCCTCACCAGGCAAGGTGCCCGAGTGGCCTCACCAGGCAAGGTGCCCGAGTGGCCTCACCAGGCAAGGTGCCCGAGTGGCCTCACCAGGCAAGGTGCCCGAGTGGCCTCACCAGGCAAGGTGCCCGAGTGGCCTCACCAGGCAAGGTGCCCGAGTGGCCTCACCAGGCAAGGTGCCCGAGTGGCCTCACCAGGCAAGGTGCCCGAGTGGCCTCACCAGGCAAGGTGCCCGAGTGGCCTCACCAGGCAAGGTGCCCGAGTGGCCTCACCAGGCAAGGTGCCCGAGTGGCCTCACCAGGCAAGGTGCCCGAGTGGCCTCACCAGGCAAGGTGCCCGAGTGGCCTCACCAGGCAAGGTGCCCGAGTGGCCTCACCAGGCAAGGTGCCCGAGTGGCCTCACCAGGCAAGGTGCCCGAGTGGCCTCACCAGGCAAGGTGCCCGAGTGGCCTCACCAGGCAAGGTGCCCGAGTGGCCTCACCAGGCAAGGTGCCCGAGTGGCCTCACCAGGCAAGGTGCCCGAGTGGCCTCACCAGGCAAGGTGCCCGAGTGGCCTCACCAGGCAAGGTGCCCGAGTGGCCTCACCAGGCAAGGTGCCCGAGTGGCCTCACCAGGCAAGGTGCCCGAGTGGCCTCACCAGGCAAGGTGCCCGAGTGGCCTCACCAGGCAAGGTGCCCGAGTGGCCTCACCAGGCAAGGTGCCCGAGTGGCCTCACCAGGCAAGGTGCCCGAGTGGCCTCACCAGGCGAGGTGCCCGAGTGGCCTCGCCAGGCGAGGTGCCCGAGTGGCCTCGCCAGGCGAGGTGCCCGAGTGGCCTCGCCAGGCAAGGTGCCCGAGTGGCCTCACCAGGCGAGGTGCCCGAGTGGCCTCACCAGGCGAGGTGCCCGAGTGGCCTCGCCAGGCGAGGTGCCCGAGTGCCCTCGCCAGGCGAGGTGCCCGAGTGCCCTCGCCAGGCGAGGTGCCCGAGTGCCCTCGCCAGGCGAGGTGCCCGAGTGCCCTCACCAGGCGAGGTGCTGCGAGGTGTGCTGCTGCTGGTGAGGATGCCTTTGGTAATAGACTGATTGCATGTCACAATTGTGTGATCATTGATAGTCTTCTTGTTAGTGCCTTGTCTGTCACCTCGGAAAGAAATGTTGTCATCTTGCCAGTCTCTCTGTCTCTCTCTCTCTCTCTCTCTCTCTCTCTCTCTCTCTCTCTCTCTCTCTCTCTCTCTCTCTCTCTCTCTCTCTCTCTCTCTCTCTCTCTCTCTCTCTCTCTCTCTCTCTCTCTCGTTCTCGTTCATCATCAGAAGTTTATAGCTGGCCTCTTATTCTTGTAGTATATCATTAGCTGTGCCTTGTGGTTAGTGTTGGTAGGGATCACGTTGCTGTCGATAATATCTTTCCTTGCGTTTTCCTCCATCTTAGACTCTAGAAAATATAATCCTGCAAACAAAAAAACAAAACAAACAAACAAAAAACAAAGGGTTGAATGTGTGAGAGAGGTTTTGTGATGTTGACTTCATCAGAGGTTAAATTAAGTGACATTTATTGACAAGAACCTACAAGAGGGAGGCAGGAGTCGTCTCTCGGCCTGCTTCCACCTGGGGAGAAGTGAACCACGGTCCATGATCATCACGGCGTGTTCATCACGGCGTGTTCATCACGGTGAACAGATGTTAAGACACGGCTGACGTAATAGTGTCAGAGGGGAACGGTGGCTCTCACACAAACGGTCTATAATCAACCTGTGCTCTTGAGTGGTACATCACATTTACACGTCTAATTTCCCTAAGGCCAAAAAAGCTGACGTTAAGGGTAGCTGCTAGCGAAATTGATACGATGTCCCGTTTTCTGTTATCGACAGGTTAGGATCGGGTAAATTGGTACACAAGTTTAGTGACCGTACACAAGATTAGTACACAAGGTTAGTGTCAGGTGTCTAAAGACAGCTGGGTGGACAGCGCTTCGGATTCGTAGTCCTGAGGTTCCGGGTTCGATCCCTGGTGAAGGCGGAGACAAATGGGCAAAATGTTTCTTTCACCCTGATGTCCCCTGTTATCAAGCAGTAAATAGGTACCTGGGAGTTAGACAGCTACTAGGGGCTGCTTCCTGGGGGTGGAGGCCTGGTCGAGGACCGGGCCGCGGGGACACTAAAACCCCGAAATCATCTCAAGATAACCTTGGAAGCACTTGGGAGACACAGTAGGCATCCATCCAACCCGTTCTCGCAAATTTAATAAGTCAATATTGACATATTAGTTGCGTGCATAGGTGACATACTAAACATAATAGTTTCCCTTGAAAAGCTTCATAGAAAACACCGACCTTACCTAACCTACTTAGTATGTTAAAATAAGCATCTTATAGCTTCGTAATTACAATTGTTACTTAACCTATTACAGGTATAGGTTAGGTAATAATTGTAATTACGAAGCAATAAGATGCTTATCTTAACATACTAAGTAGGTTAGGTAAGGTCAGTGTTTTCTATGAAGCTTTTCAAGGGAAACTATTATGTTTAGAATGTCACCTATGCACATATTTAATAAGTCAATATTGACTTATTAAATTTGCGAGAACGGGTTGATCCATCAGTCTCAGGAGACTATTGAGTTGCACTCTGGTTGTCGGTCTGGAGTGGCCTCTCCAGGGCGCAAGACCAGGTTGATACGGGAGGAGAAGCTGTCACCCATGCAGCAAGTCCCACCAGTCTCTCTGAAACGAACTGCTATAGTAAAGGAACTAACATAGGAATATGCCTTAATGTTAGTACCGAGTGGCCTGTACGACTTCGCAGGGTTCGGCCTAGCTGTTGAGTGAACAGCGCTCTGGGGTCGTCATCCTAAGAGCTCGGGTTCGATCCCCAGCAGAGGCAGAAACAAATGAGCATATTTTCTTTCACCCTGATGCATCTGTTCACCTAGCGTTAATAGGTACCTGTGAGTTAGACAACAGCTATGGGCTGCTTCCTGTGTGTGTGTGTGTGTGTGTGTGTGTGTGTGTGTGTGTGTGTGTGTGTGTGTGTGTGTGTGTGTGTGTAAAAAATGATTAATTGATTGTTTGTAACACCATAAAGATGTTTTGTAGTTTATTTCACATAGAACAGAAGTCAGTCATACATGATATTTGAGGTGCCAGACTATGTCTCTTAGCAATTAAAAAGTCACACCTAGAGAAGTTAATGACCAAGAGATGACCAGGGGTTAGGGCGTGTGAATTGACCTTGCAGGCCTGCCGGGGGCCTGCCGGTGCCTGCCGGTGCCTGCCGGAGCCTGCCGGAGCCTGCCGGAGCCTGCCGGAGCCTGCCGCAGCCTGCCGGAGCCTGCCGGAGCCTGCCGAGGCCTGCAGGAGCCTGCGGGTGTATACCGGTGCCTGCCGGGGCCTGCCGGTGCCTGCCGGGGCCTGCCGGGGCCTGTCGGGGCCTGCCGGAGCCTGCCGAGGCCTGCAGGAGCCTGCCGGAGCCTGCCGAGGCCTGCAGGAGCCTGCGGGTGTATACCGCTGCCTGCCGGGGCCTGCCGGTGCCTGCCGGGTGCCTGCCGGGTGCCTGCCGGGTGCCTGCCGGTGCCTGCAGGAGCCTGCGGGTGTATACCGCTGCCTGCCGGGGCCTGCCGGGTGCCTGCCGGGTGCCTGCCGGTGCCTGCCGGGTGCCTGCCGGGTGCCTGCCGGGGCCTGCCGGGGCCTGCCGGGGCCTGCCGGGTGCCTGCCGGGGCCTGCCGGAGCCTGCCGATGCCTGCAGGAGCCTGCCGAGGCCTGCAGGAGCCTGCGGGTGTATACCGGTGCCTGCCGGTGCCTGCCGGTGCCTGCCGGGTGCCTGCCGGGGCCTGCCGGAGCCTGCCGGAGCCTGCCGATGCCTGCAGGAGCCTGCCGAGGCCTGCAGGAGCCTGCGGGTGTATACCGCTGCCTGCCGGGGCCTGCCGGTGCCTGCCGGGTGCCTGCCGGGTGCCTGCCGGGTGCCTGCCGGGGCCTGCCGGGTGCCTGCCGGGTGCCTGCCGGGTGCCTGCCGGGTGCCTGCCGGGTGCCTGCCGGGGCCTGCCGGAGCCTGCCGGAGCCTGCCGAAGCCTGCAGGAGCTTGCGGGTGTATACCGCTGCCTGCCGGGTGCCTGCCGGGTGCCTGCCGGGGCCTGCCGGGGCCTGCCGGGGCCTGCCGGGGCCTGCCGGGGCCTGCCGGAGCCTGCCGAGGCCTGCCGGGTGCCTGCCGGGTGCCTGCCGGGGCCTGCCGGGTGCCTGCCGGGGCCTGCCGGTACCTGCCGGAGCCTGCCGGGGCCTACCGGAGCCTGCTATTCACAAAACCTCCCAAACCTCAATATTTCACAGCGTGTAATATGCCCGGCCCCTGGCAGGCCGGGGTGGGACGGGGCGTTGATGGAGTGACCACTGGAAGGGGTGGAAGAGAAGTGAAGGGGAAGAGAATGGAGGGGTGAAATGGAAAGGGGCGGCAAGAGGAGAGAAGCGGGGGAGAACGGGAGGGGATGGAACGGTGTTGCAACGGGAAGATGGAAGGGAAGGAAATGGGAAAGGTATGAGAAGCACAAACGAAAAGAGGTAAAGGGAGGGGGAGCTGAAGAATTAGACAGAGGGAGGTGAGTGAGGAGATGGAAGGGGGGAGGGGACTAAAGTGATGGGCAGGTGGAAGGGATGTGGAAGAGGCGGCGGCATGGTGGGAGGGGGGGGGGAGGGTTTTTAAACCTAACATGACTGATAAAGACAATTAGAATATACAGCATACTGAGAACAGAAGGATGGTGGATGACTATAGCTTGGTGTCGAGTGGATGACTATAGCTTGGTGTCGAGTGGATGACTATAGCTTGGTGTCGAGTGGATGACTATAGCTTGGTGTCGAGTGGATGACTATAGCTTGGTGTCGAGTGGATGACTATAGCTTGGTGTCGAGTGGATGACTATATAGCTTGGTGTCGAGTGGATGACTATATAGCTTGGTGTCGAGTGGATGACTATATAGCTTGGTGTCGAGTGGATGACTATATAGCTTGGTGTCGAGTGGATGACTATAGCTTGGTGTCGAGTGGATGACTATAGCTTGGTGTCGAGTGGATGACTATAGCTTGGTGTCGAGTGGATGACTATAGCTTGGTGTCGAGTGGATGAACATAGCTTGGTGTCGAGTGGATGACTATAGCTTGGTGTCGAGTGGATGACTATAGCTTGGTGTCGAGTGGATGACAGAAGAAATGTAGGCATTGGCACGTCCGAGAGAAGATGACACCTTAGGAAGCAATGAAAAAGGAAACATAATAAAGAATGGGAGTAAGAGAGAAGAAGAAAAACATAGAGGAAGCGAGGAAAAGCATCCGTAGAAAGGAAAACATAATGTAAAAAATGCAGTGAAATGCTAGGAAGAAATAGAAGAGTAGAGAGAGAGAGAGAGAGAGAGAGAGGAGAGAGAGAGAAGAGAGAGAATAGAGAGAGAGAGAAGAGAGAGAATAGAGAGAGAGAGAAGAGAGAGAATAGAGAGATAGCGCAAGCGAAGAGCGAGAAGACGCAGAAGAGGAGAGAGAACGAACCGCAAAGGTTAATGAGACGGAAGAGAGATATGGAGACAATTTATTAATGAAACATGTCGGTCAAAGACAAGACAGGAATTGAGCTGGAGAATTGTTACAGCAGAAGTTAGGAGGAACAGATGGAGACAACAGGAGGGAGACAGGAGAAGCTATGAATGGACGAAGAAAGACGATAAACGGTATAGAAGGGAAAAGAAACACAACAAAAGGCTGGGGTAAGAAGAGAGAAGATAAGAAAGTACTAGCGGATGATTGGAAACATCAGAAAGTGTGAAGGAAGACGATAGAAAAGACGGAAAACGGAAAAGAGAGAAGAACGAGGAAAGTAAAAAAAGAGGGAAATATTGGAATATTGTAATAATAATAAAATATCCTCATCTTACATGACCTCACATCTATCAGTCGTGAGCCTCCGGCTTCAAAGACGCTTTCTTCTACCACTACGTTCATATGACTCCTCTCAAGACCTTGCTAGTTCTCTGCCTCCATCAAGTATGATCTCGTTATACACACTGTCGGAAAATCCGACACCATTTAATAATATCATACAGACAGATAATATTGCTGTGTTGTATAAACAAGTTACCCATAGAAAATGTAACTTGTAGTGGAATTCCCGTCTATAGAAAACGGGATATCATTACCACATACTATTATAAATTCACCACCTATTATGGTGGGAATTATTCTTAAATACATTAATCTTTGGACTTTACCATCATAAAAACATCTCATATAAATTAACTTAATTATCAGAATTAAAATAGAGTAAATGTGACCCTTCTATCACTTACTGTCATCTGGACAAAGTAAGCCAGGCGTCAGTTGTGAGGGAGTGGTCAGCCATTGTTGTTGTCACCTCCGAGACGCGTGGAGCAAATTCGGCTCCTATCATATCTGGACAATGTCGGCCAGTAGCGTCAGTAGTATGGAGTGTCAGCCATTGTTATTGTACTAAGACCACAGAGGCTCACGGGAGCAAATACAGCTCCTGTTAATTTTACTTGGACGAAGTGTTATCGAAACCAAAGGAGTACCATCATCAACACGCTGTCAACAAATACAAGTTAAGTGTTCTGCCGAAACCCATTTATCTATCATTTATGGCCATTAATGTCATTAGATAGGGTGACCGATTAGATCACGAGATCGCCTCATACTAAAGGTCAAGACGAGGAAGCATGCTTTGTGTACCAGTTACTGGGTGATGGAAGCTACCTCAAAGAGGATAATTTGGTGTCTACATCCTGGTTATACCTGGTGGACTAAGGCCTGCTGTACAATAAGATAAAGAACCTCTTCAATGTATGTAGTCTAATACTGTAGTTTGATTGGCTGCATATATATAAATTCAATATAAACCCCCCCTAATGTGTAGAGGATCGATTTGTGAGATTATTTCAGAAATACAGTCCACTCATTATCATACAAATTGCTATCGAAGTATATAAATTAATGTAAATATAAAATCTATATAAATTCATATAAATTAAATAAATATAAATCTCACAGGTCGGTTCCCACACACACCAGCATCTTGTCAACTACTGTTTATATCACTGATAGAAGAATTCAACGGCACATTGCCTCTAGTCTATCTCATTGCCATGATGTAGACCTGAATGCAACCCTGTGTTTGGCGTAAGGGCCTTTGATCTTTAATAATATTTAAGAGCCGTCAATGGAGTTTGTTAACTTGGAATTATATTCATCTTGTCCGAGGTTATAAACTGTTGAGTGGGCGACTTGGCCTTTGCAAACTTTTCTTAGAATCTGAAATAGGTCTAACAACAAACAAATTAAAGGGCGACTCCAATTTTAACAATCCTAAGTTGATCCTCCTGTAATAGTAAACATTGTATACACGAAAAAATAACGTTAAAAAGTGTGGTAAATTCGGAGGGGCAAGACTTTTAAAATAAGTTGTTAGTTAAACGACAATTATGCAGGAAACAAAGGGAGACGAAATTACTTCCCTAATCATTTTGACCCATTTAATTACTTACCTAATTGTGCTCGACCATTGTACGTGTGGGGCGGGGGGGTTGAACCATAGTTCTTTGGTCCCGCGTTAATTTTTTAAATCAACTGGTGTACAGGTTCCTGAGCCTGCATTTGAAACTGTGGAGTCTCCTACGCCACATCAATTCGTAATGTGTTACATTTGTTCACTATGACACTGACAAATTTATTTCTAATGCCCCTCTGGCTAATTTAGGTACTTCATTTCTAGGCGTGTCCCCGTGTGCGAATTCCAATCACGCTAAACTGTCCGTCTTTATCTACAATATCAATTCACCTGAGAAATATCTGTAGTAATCATGTTTCTCCTAACTCTTCTGACTTCCAGCGACGTGAGGTTTAATTCCTGTAGCCTTTCCTCGTAACTCATGCCACTTTGTACCTTTACTAGTGTCGTGGCATACCTCTGAACATTTTTCAACTTCGTTTCCTAGATTGGTCTGGCATTATGTGGTATATAAGGTCCTGGACGATTCTGTACTCAGATTTATGAAGGAAGGTCAAGTGTTGGCCAGCAACACTGTTGGCCATCGCACTGTTGATATCCGTTTGATGTGGACCTCTAGAGACAGGTTCGGTGAGATATCAACCCCAGGTCTTTCTGCCAGATTCTTGAAGGTTTTTATCTCCTCTTTGGGGTCTTTTGTCTGAGGCCTCCCGATTCCTACCAACGAGCTCAATTACTTTGCACTTTAAATCGACGATTCTCTCTGTCGATTTAATCTTTCAATTTCATGCTTTCATAATCCTCCTCATAATTCTTTGGGCCATGAAAAACACTGTGAGGAATGAGTCCATTCCCTGTGGAAGATTATTTGCATTTGATCAGAGGATATCTGCGAGTACTGACCCCTGTGGGACTTTGCTGATACAGCACATCCTCCTAGAAGGAGCGTACTTGTAGTAACTATGTCGTCGAAAGTACAAATATGTTGTGATGAACCGCCTTAAAGTAGACTTTTGTATTACTGAATTTGGACAAACCGAATAAGTTTATATATTTGTTGCTAATAAAACCTAACCTAATTACCATGGGCCTAGTGCACGCTATGTGAAGCCTAGAATAACATATAAGTGCTATATTAGGTCTAGAAATAGTTAATTTTAGTTTTTAACTTTATTTTTTCCAGACGAATTGTTCAAACTGTGGCTTACCGGGACACCGTCACTACTTATTAGTAGGATCAACCACATAGTTACTGAACGTAACTCCACCACAGTCGGTGGTGATGTTCGGTCCACACCACCACAGTCTTTCGTAAATCTGTCCTAACAGAGCGTCGCATTTTGACGTATACTCTACCTAAGGCCAAAAATTGTCGTACTAGAAGATGATAGCGACTCGCGAAATTGACATTCTGTCCCCTTTTCTGTTCCGGGTTCTCTGGTAGGTTAACATAAGGGCACTTTAATACGACAGTTTCATGAAGCTGGGAATCCTTAGGAGGACGGACAGTGAATGTGCTTAAGTACTTCCCTCATGCACTGAATCACCTTCCCTGCCACCTTCGAACGCACTCGTCCCGTGTCCGGCCCTGTTATGAGTGAGAGAGTGCGGGAGTGAGTGAGTGCGAGTTAACTGCACCCAACCCCCTTGCGTTTGGGTTGGGAGCCATTTCCATTGACCCTTCATCAGAGAAAGTTGGGCTGGCAATTGTAACTTCGACGAGTTTGGGGAACGTGATTGACGGTGTGTGTGTTTTTCTTTGTGGTTTTATTTAGCTTGTTTTGTTTGACTTTCCAGGATTAAGGCAGAGCTATATCTGCCGTCCAGAGATAGGCGAGGTGTGGAAGGCTGGCTGGAGGGGGGGGGGTTAAGATGTTTTTTTGTTTGCGAATGAAGAAGATGGAAAGGCATAGGTGAACGGAGCGTTT